TGATTTTGCGAGTGTAAGTGTGTGATTGTGCGAGAGTGTGATTTTGCGAGTGAGTGTGTGCTTGTGCGAATATTCATGTGAGTGTGTGATTGTGTGAGTGTGCGAGTGTGTGATTGTGCGAGAGTGTGTGTGTGTGTGATTGTGAGTGTGTGATTGTGCATGAGTGTGATTGTGCAAGTGTGAGTGTCAGTAAATGTGTGTGTGAGTGTGAGAGAGTGTCAGTAGATGTGTGTGTGTGTGTGTGTGTGTGTGTGTGTGTGTGTGTAATCTGACTGAATGTTCTTGATGTTTATCTGCTCAGATCTTTCCGGATCCCTCAGACTTCGAGCGCTGCTGTAAGCTGAAGGACCGTCTGCCGTCTATCGTGGTGGAGCCGACGGAGGGCGAGGTGGAGAGCGGGGAGCTGCGCTGGCCTCCTGAGGAGTTCCTGGTGAGCGAGGAGGACGAGGAAGAGTGCGACGGAAACCTGCAGAACGGACAGATGCAGAACTGTCAGCGCTAGAGAGGATCGACTGACTGACATGAGTCACACACTGATTCCTGCACATAGAATAGACAATCACACCAACGCATACAGAACAACTGATCCACTGACATCCGATCGCTCAGACTTCATTCCCACCTGTGAGAGTGTGTGTGTGTGTGTGTGTGTGTGTGTAAGTGTGTGTGTGGTGTGTGTGTGTGTTTGAGAGAGGACGAATGCACATGCTCAGTGTGTGTCAGAAGATTATTCATTATGATGATGGTGTGAGTCTGTCCTGCACTCATTCCTGTTATTTACATGCTTTTCTGAGTAACACCGATCTTCCTGACCATATGCCATAAGTGTTGTATGTGGATTTTACTGTAAATATTCTGTAGATGAATGACAGGTAAGACGTCTTTAGTGTGCCAGTCTAATCACTCCTGAATCTGTAGGAGAACCGCAGCCGTCTTCCTGAATTTGTTGTATTCACAGCAGAACTGACCTGTCTCCGTCTGTATGTTTGTGTGTCTGTATGCAGTATATATATATATATATATATATATATATATGTGTAGATGTCAGTGTTTGTGTTGTGGGTCCAGCACAGAATCACTTCCTGACTGTTCATCTGTAAAGACTCAGGGAGTTTGCTCTTATTTTGTATTACACCGCTTCCTCTCTGACTGACAGAGGCTGTAAATAAACCATTTGAAAGTGCTTTACAAAACAGTGCTTCCCGAGACTTTCTTCAGACTCTGTGTTTTAAACTGGAAGAAAAATGCATGCAGAGAGAGAGAGAGAGTGTACCGACATATTTTTACAGACAAATTTGTACCCAGAAATGAGTTAAGCCTCACAAAAAAAACTTTTTGGGACGTCCTTATTTGTAAACACATTATAAAAATGAACTTAATCAAGTGTTTTTAAAGTTGTAGTAATGCAGTCAGTTTTCTGTTAGTGTTTATAACTAGCTGTATATGAAAACAGTGGAGGTCTATGCAATGTTCCCGAGTAGAGTGCAAAGTAAATGTGTGTGCTCAAAAGCTTCTGTTGTGAATATACTGTCTCTCTAAAAGTCTTTGAGTGTGAAACAGACCGTGTGTTTTTATCCTGGTTTGTTTCTCACTCGATGCAACTCAGCACAAAGGCTTTAAACATATTGTGACTTCCTGCAGTGAATCTGTGTGTGTGTGTGTGTGTGTGTGTACTGTATTTAGTTTTGCTAACCGCACATTGCCTTCCTGTCTCCATAGGCTCACCTCGAAACTAGCACACTTCCTCTCCACAGATCAGAAACGCTGCTCTGAGCCTTGCCGTTAGTTTAATTATTATTTATCGTCCATTTTCAACTAGCTTTATATGTTTACAATATTAGTAATGTGCAAATGAATGATACTTAATGTTTGCCCATGTTATCTGCACCCAGATACACACACAGCCCTTTTCTCTGATCATGTAACAGATTATTTATTTTTAGTCATTGTGTAATTAAGAGCCCAGCAGTGAATGAGCTCCGCTGATGTTAGTAAGATGCGGTGTATGCAAGCACTGCGGCTCACATTCCTTCACTTCTGAAGATCACAAACGAAGCACTTCTTGTAATGACTCTCATTTATCTCTAGCTCTAGATCGTGCTCGTCTAGCGTTCACATTGTGACTATAGTGTTGTTTCTGTGACAAATCTCTTGTGATGAGTATGTGGCATTGTATAAAAGCGTCTGCTGAATGAATGCGTGTTAATGATGCATGTGTGCAAACCATGCCGTTGAATGTTTACGTAATCAGGCCTTCGGTCGAATTTGTTCTGATTTGGCCATTGAATGTTTTTCATAGCAAAACAGATTTGGAAAGATTGTCTGTGAGGAGACATGAGTGTCACCTGCTTCATACAGTGTTTAGATTATGACTCTCAATGGGCTGAACAAGGTATTTTAAAGTGAAATGTTTTGGAATTTCTTGTGAGATTTGCTCTGGCAGATTTCACAGCAGGTTGAAGTTTAGAAGTGAGCTCGGTGTGAGCGCTGCTTCATACAG